TAGAAAAATGAAATCGCTCGGAATTTTGTAACATCGCCGAAATTTTTAACGGAAAAAACTCTGCGCGGATTCCCATTGAACTCGTGTTTTCTGTGGCATCCCTGACAAAGAAAAACTAATTTTTTTCCGATTTCAATTTTGCGTTTGAAAGCTTAATATTTCCCAGACGGTAAGCTAAAACTACAAAGTTTCAGGTCCAGTTCATAGCTCCATTTATCAGCTTTGCAGAACTGCGCAAAGTGATTCTGGACTCTGGACTTACGAAGCGGCTAAGTTGAGATTTTTCTGTGTTCAACGCCGATTCTGGCTAATCCGGTAACGGGAAAGAAGTTCATATTGGATACAAATGCGAGTGGCACAGGTATTGATGGAGTGTTATCTCAGATGATTAAGGGCCAGGAGAAAGTGGTTGCCTATCATAGCAAGGTTTTGTCTAAACCAGAAAGCAACTACTATGTCACGAGAAAAGAGCTGTATTTCCCCAAAATTACCTTAAAAGACGCATAATTAATGCACACAATAAATACAAATACTCAGGATTTTTTTTTTGACTTTTTATAAGTATTTAAAGATACAATTTTATACAATATACCTAAATAAAATGATGATTCTTATTATTTGAAAGCTTAATATTTCCCAGACCAGACGGTAAGCTGAAAATACGAAATGTTCATTACTACTTTATAGCTGAACTTAAAAGCTTTTCTTAATGGCATACGACATTACAACCAGATGTAATAGTGGAACAGTGGGAATTTTTGGCAGATGTGAAATTTCGATTCCCACTGGCACCATCCACCTTTTAACATCCATAAAAACAGCTGATGCACACAATTGGGTACGGCGGAAAATTTTTTTACTTTTACAATCAAAATGAATATTAATAATATTGCAATGGCTGTGAATGTGATTCAGCACCAAAATATATTCTTGCACAAACTAATCATGTTGCTGGACATGGATGATGATGATGATGATGAGACCAAAGTGACGAGGAAGAGATATTAGAATGAATATCTGTTTTGAAAACTCGGAAGCGTGGTCATTTGTGACTGCTTCTACTAAATCAAATCAATGTTTTAAATACAAATACAGATTCTATGTTTTTAAGACGCTGTTCGGGACATTTTGCCGAGAAAGATGTAGCCGAAAGGAAAGTTTTGTGTTATTTCTTAGAATTGTATATTTTGGGCTCTTTTTCAGAGTACAGAACAGTCGGAAGGCTGTCAGCCAACAGCGTGTATAATATCCTGCATGATTTTTGCAAAGCATTGATAAGCGAATAACCAGAGTCCACAAACTATCTCACTTCCGAGTTTTGGTGCCTGAGACAATTCTGACATTTTTGTTTTTTCTCATTTTCATGTCTGTCATTTCGTTGTGAATGTAAAATATTTATGGTTGCATTTGAAAATAGAATAGAATAGACACAATAAAGCAGACAAGGCGTTAACATTGGCAGATGTGCGTCTTGAGAAGAGCTGATTTGGGTGCTTGATGACAAGGAAAGTAACCAAATTTTTGGAAATCAACAGAAGTATGCAGGACGACAAGAAAATGGACGACAGAGAATTGATTCTCATATTTATTTCTTATTTTCAGACATTTCTTTGTAGAGTTTGTGGGAGTTCTTCATGAAAACTATAGAAGTTCTTCACCAGCAGTATCTTAATGGCATCTTAATGGTATGTTAATAATACAATCAGCTTAATATATTTTATTTCAGGATTTTATGTTTTTATTTTTCGTACAACCATAACAACAACCATACAAGTTTTTGTTGTTATTAGTGGTGATAATTGCGCTGATAGGCAGAAAAGTGCCAAAATGTGCTGTTAAGCGCAAAAGCAATCGAATATGCATCCGAGAGCGACGCAACATTTTGCCACCACTAGAGCCCTATGCTTAGCCTATGTACAAAAATGCAAAGAAGCATGACGCAGCCCCAGTCGGAACAGCCTATTAGGAATATTCTAGATGGAGGGTGGAAAGCCTGGGATTTTTTGAACGGCAAAAACCATGCGGACCATCCCCGAAATAGATGGTGCATGGTCGACTGTGGGAATAGGCCATTAGATAATTAAGTTATGTGAAAAAAACGCTACCTTTGGAAACAAAACATACAAACAACTACCATTTTCCTTAAATTCATTAAAACAAAAATTCGGCCATAGAAAAAAAACACAATTTTTAAAAAAAATTGTGATTTCCCAAATCTATTAGAAAAAGTCGGTTTGGTGTGAATCGTTACATAAAAATACGAGAAAAATCTTGGCTAATCACCAAAGTACAACATGAAAAGAAGTTTGCATCAATATATTGTCTCAACTTTCACTTAAATCTTTGTTTGAACTGAGCGTCGCGGAAAGGACTTGCATATTTTACAAGTGCGAATGGCTTGGTTTTTTGCAAAAATCTCGTTAACGAATAGTTGCCCTAATCGACCTTAGCACTAGTTATCGGGCTAGTCAGAAGTTGTGACATAATTGTAAAACAATATTGAAAATTCGACTAGAGTAAGAAAATTTGAGGAAAGACTAGAAATAAATTTATTATACCATCAGACATGCTCTGATTACACTACTCGACAAAATCGAACTTTTTTTTTCCTCAAGGATCCAAACCGACTTTTTCTGATAGATATGGAGATTTAAAATTTTTTAAAGAATTATGGTTTTTTTTCTATGGCAGAACTTTTTTTTGAAAAATTTTTGAAGTCTGGTATTTTTTTTTAAGCTTTTTTCAGAGGAAGCGCTTGTTTTTTTCACATAACTCTAGTATCTTACGTCTAATTGTAAAGATTGTAAAGAGCTCAACTGCCAATTGGGAACAAAGCAAACAAAAAAGGGTTGTACATTTGGTACCTGATCGCGATCCCAATTCCCAATGGGAATTGGGCTCGCAACCATCGAAAAGGTATTTTTTGTTCATTTTTTTCCTTTTTTAGGTTTGGTTAACGAATTTTAGATCCAAAGTCTCTCCATAGATTTTAATGAGCGATACCTTAAACGACTCCAAACTAACGCACCTATACACAAAAAAATAGAGAACACAGGATATAATTTTTTTTCGACTTTGACTTTTAAAGTCAAAATTTCATAAAAAATACCGCACAAAAATCATCATTTTTGCATTTCAATGCTTTATATTTCTCAGACGGTAAGCTGTAATCACAAAGTGTTTAGGCTTAACTTCTAGCGGTTTTAATTATCTTTTCAAATAGCAAAATAAGATAGCAAAGTTCTTTACAATCAGACGTAAGATACTAGAGTTAGGTGAAAAAAACAAGCTCTACCTCTGAAAAAAGCTTAAATAAAAAATACCAGTTTTCAAAAATTCTTCAAAAAAAAGTTCTGCCATAGAAAAAAAAAAAATATGATCAAACCATTTCTAAGCCCCAAATCTTTAAGAAAAAGTTCGTTTTGTTCCTTGAGGAAAAATCGTGTTGACTAGTGTTATCGCAAATCGCATAAAGTTTCGATTTGACAGTCAAATAGCAAAAATGCGTGCTACGGTTTTCGTAAATTGCTAGATTTTTACGATTTTTAACCGGTTGAGATCGCGATTTCAAATCGAATTGCACATAGCACCTAAATAAAAACTTGTATGAGCGGAAAATATATAAATTCAAATTTGCTGGAGTTTTAAGTTTATATTCATATAATTAAACATTTATTTTCGCATATCCTAATATATTTAATAAATTTATTTCTAATAGCAACCAAATTTTACCTCACCAAATTAAACCTCATAGCCTTTTCCCGCACAGCACATATCTGAGAAACGGTGGTAATTTTTGACAGATGTGAAACTCCGATTCCCACTGGCACCATCCACCATCCATGAAAAATAGCTGATGCACACAATTTGGTGCGGCGAAAAATGTATTTCTTTTATAATTTAAATGAATATTAATAATATTTCAATGGTTGTGAATGTGATTCAGCAGTAAAACATATTCTTGCACAAGCTAATCATATGGCTGGACATGGATGATGATAAAGAGACTAACATTGAGGAGAGAATTTATTGGAATGGATATCTGTTTTGAAAACATTGAAGTGTGGTCACTTCTGACTGCTTCTACTAAATCCAATCAATGTTTTAAATAAAAATATATATTCTATGTTTGTTGAGAAGCGGTTTGGGACATTTTGGGAGAAAGATGTACCCGAAAACAACGAGGCGTTTTGTAAGGAAAGTTATGTATAGCCATAGCATTGTATACTTTGGGCTCTTTTTCTGAGTACAGAATAGTCGGAAGGCAGTCAGCCAAAAGCGGGTGCAATATCCTGCATGAGTTTTGCAGAACACTCATAAAAGAATTCCCATTTGACCTATAAAGTTTCGATATAAATATCGACGAGGGGAAAAATGTCGTCTCTTCTTACTTCACCGATTTTTTGTTTTGCTTAGGTATAATAAAATGCGATTGCCAAAAAAATTACATATTTAAGAAAAATATTTCCCTTTTTAACACAAAGAAAGATTTTTTTTTAAATAAGTATCGTAAAACTATTTGTGAATGAAACACTATCAATAGCATAAAGATACGAAAACCAGAGCGCACAAAATTTTAATTCGCACGCGAATTGTTCCAAAATAGTTTTTTTTTTGTGATTAAATCATCGCAGCTATATTGTCGCATTGATCAGATACTGGTGGTTAAGTCGTATGTGCAGGACATACTCGTATACTCGTATTTTGATTTTTTTTTCCGTGTATCGACACGTGTCTTTAACACTTTTTGTTTAGGTTATGTTTTTTCCGACGGCGCAGCTATTTCCAACAATACAGTACAGTACAATTTATGGTTTGTTCTCTTTTGTTTTTAATTTTATATTTTATTGCGAAAGCGAATATGGTGGCCGGTCTTCAATGACCGGATACGTTCAGTTCAGTCATTAACAACCGGTTTTAAATAGTAAGAATCTTACGACTTGCCAACATCAGAGCGAGCAATTTTGCAATTTGTTTTTATTGATTTTTTTTATATTTACCTTGGATAATTTCGTATCTGATGGAACATTTGGAATTTTTTCACGAAGGTATGAAAAAGCATTATTTATGCTTTGTGTCCGTCTACGCTCTTTTTTGTTTGCTGTATTTCGTTTTTTTATGGTCCGAACATTTGAAGTTGCCATCAGACCATAGGGATTTATTGGGATATATCTTTGTTCCTGAATGTTTTTAGAGCCTGAAAGACATAATTTTAAATCCACTAGTAAAAAGAATTCAACGCAAAACTAAGACCAACAAGAACTATGAATATACATCCGGATACTCAGAAGACAGATATCCTAATCAAATCATTAGTAACAATATGATATTAGACTTTGCTAACTTACTAACTAAAAAAACCAAGATAGCATTGATGGAAAAGTAAGCAATGAGAGCGAGAGAAATGCCTCAGCTCGGGCTTCCAGTTGAGCTGGGCGCAGTGCAGCTGCTATTCACTACCCGACACAATTTTTCATCATGGAAACAAACCAACTTTTTCTAAAAGATTTGGGGCTTAGAAATTGTTTGATGATATTTTTTTCTATGGCAGAACTTTTTTTAAAGAATTTTTATACCCGTACTCAAAAAGAGTTATGGGGTATATTAGATTTGTGGTAAAAGTGGATGTGTGTAACGCAGAGAAGGAAACGTTTCCGACCCCATAATGTATATATATTCTTGATCAGCATCAATAGCCGAGTCGATATAGCCATAACTGTCTGTCCGTCTGCCTGTCTGCCTGTCTGTATGTCTCTATGAGCGCCTAGATCTCAGATACTATAAGTGCTAAGGCAACCAAATTTGTTTTCCAGACTCATGTGATATCACACTGCTACAAATGTATTTCAAAATTTAGCCCACTTCCGCCCACACAAAGGACGAAAATCTGTGGCAGACACAATTTTAAAGACACGATAAAACGCAGTATCGTAGAGAATGTCCATATCTACCAGATTGCCGAATCTGAATCAGATCGGATCATAATTATAGCCAGAATGAAGAAATTGATTTTCAGTTGCTTCCCCTGCCTCCTTCAGCCAGAGACACGCAACTCATTTTCTTTCTCGCTCGCACACTCTGCTGCGTTCAGTGCGCGAGCAACCCCTAGCGGAGGAGATGTGGAATATAAATGGTACATCTATAATCTACATGTTAGATATAAAATATACATTGTAGATAGCAGATGTAGCAAAAAAATTTAAATGTAAATGTAATTCTAAAATTCTAAAAAAATAATAAGCTCAAAAATGTATATACTGACTGAGTACGGGTATAAGTAGTGTCGCGTTCCCAGAAGCGACTCACACGTTCCTTCTCGTGAAAAACTGGAATTTCATTTTTTATTCTTTTTCAGAGTTAGCGCTTCCTTTTTCACATAACTTAGTTATCTAACATCTGGTTGTAAAGAAATTTGACATTCTGATAAGCTAATTGATGCAGCTAGAAAGCGGTAAAATGTGATTTTCGGAGGGTTGGTTAAACAAATTTTAATGAGCAATTCCTTAAACGACGCCAAATTAATGAAAATTTAAAAACAATATTTGTTTTATAATCATGAAAATTAATAAAAATAATATATTATAATATCCATATAATTGTCCTTCATATAATGCTGCATTAATTGGATTCTATTTGTCTTCATTATTTAAAGTATATGCTTGTTTTTTTTGGTATGTTTCGACCCACCTCGAAAAAGATATCAATTTGATATCTTTTGTCAGCAAACACGAAGCAAACATTGCAATAGGAGAACAAAAAACCAAATGAAATATTTTAATATTGAAGACAAATAGAATCTAATTAATGCAGCATTATATAAAGGACAATTATATGGATATTATAATATAATATTTTTATTAATTTTCATAAATATAAAACATACATTGCTTTCTAACAGTTTGTCTTCACGGTGATCGGCACAGGTGGCGTCGCCATCTGCTGCTGCTGATAGTCAGACACATTACCTTGCCAATAAAATATTGGGGAGCCCAGCATATGCCTGGGGAAGAGCGGCCCCAGCCGAAGAAGTGCATTTTGTTAACTTTAAACAAAACCAATCAGCGGTCTGAGCAGTGTAACCGTTCGGAATGCAGTGCACACCTCTGGTCACACCACTGGTCGCTCGAAAAATATATGACATCTGTTTGCTAGCAAACAGTTTTTCGATCTGAGTACTAGGCTTTAGGCTGTGAACCAAAATGACTTTTTCTGATAGATTTCGGGATTTAAAAATTTTTGTAGTACTTTATTATTTTTTTATGGTGTCATTTTTTCTAAAGAATTTTTAAAATCTGGTATTTTTTTCTTGGTTTTTTTCAGACGTAGTGCTTTTATTTTTCACATAACTTAAGTATCTAATATCTGGTTGCATAGAACTTTGCAGTTCTGAAAATCTGACAAATGCATCTATAAATCGTACCCAGACAATTTGTATCTGCAGCTTAATGCCTGGAAGATATTAAGCTATCAAATTTCAACATTTTTTACGGTAATTTTTACCGACATTTTGACTTTAAAAACTCGGAAAAAGTCGAAAGAAAAATAGATTTTAAAAAATTCTTAAAAAAAAACTACAGCATAAAAAAAAAACCATAATTCGTTAAAAAAATTTAAACAATGTCTATAAGAAAGAGTTATTTTGGGCCAGAGCCTAATTGTAGTGTTGACTAGTGCTATTAGCAGCCACTACCGTGAAGATAACATGTTTTGAAGAGCATAGACATAGACAAAATCAACTTAATAGACAAAAAAAAATAAAAAGAATTTATAGCTATAGTTATACTTGTTATTGGTAGCTATTGCTCTGGCAAAGGAGGTTGTGACGACCAATGCCGCAAACATACACCTACACCGAGTCAAATCAGCGCACCAAGCCCAGTGTGACCCTAACGCAACCACACGGACACACTAAAAATACCTGCTGATCGCCCAACATTCAAATACACACGCCACATACGCCACATACATACGCCTGACACTGACGAAACCACAAACGGGCTGACGTTCGGCAATAAAAGGAGGATCGCTGGAGCGAATCGGGGCAGTCCAACTCGGATAGCCCTGGGTCTGACAACCCATTTTCTAAGCGGTCCTTTTGCCAAATATAGAATCCCTGCCTTTCCACTCGTTCTGCTCAATATCTTTACCCTTCCTCCAGAGTGTACTCAATCCTCTGAGTCTTCCCTCCAGAGTGTGTCCAAACCTCTGAAACCTAATCCTCTGAATCCGCTCGTTTCCGATCGTTCTCCTTGTAGTGTATCTACATTCACATTCTATTACGGTACCGGTACCGTCATCTACATTCTATTCTCCTTGGAGTGTGTCTAAACCTCCGCATAGATATTTCTGCTCGGAGTGTGTCTAAACATCCGCACCGTGATCCCCAATTACCAACTAACCAGCACGCAGAAAGCAGCCACGTGCGGCTGAGTAGCCAAGCCAGAAGGAAGACTTACTCAAAATGTTTGTTTAATATTCATAAAATTTAATGAAAATAATAAATTTTAGTATTCATATACATAATTGCTTTCATATATATGTAGCTGCCTTAATTAGATTCTGTTTGATTTCATTATTTAAATATTTTATTGGTTTTTTGTTCACCATTTTGAAATGTTTACGTTCGTGTTTGCTAGCGGCAAGTAAAATACAAACGAATACCAGCAATACTATCATGCTTTCCTCTTATCTATCGGCATTTTTTTTCCTTGAACTGAGTACTGCCCTCTGTACTCTAACGAACAGTTTGTGCCCCAAAAAAAATTCGTATCAGTTTCATACAAATTTGACGCTCAACAACACATTTGTGCGCTATAAAGAGGCTATCAGTTGACCTTATATTTTGTGTATGTTTTGCTTAACGTCCTGGTAATATTTTGCTTTCAAATGTAAAATACAAACATGCAAATAGTATGCATTACTTGATCAAATTAAAATTATCGAACCCTTTATATGCACATTAAATAACTAAATTGTTCCCGCAGGTTCATTTTACTTAGACATTCTATGGCTAGCAAACCGTCAAATGACAAACACTTAGTATGAGTTTTCTCTGACAGCCAAGCAGCTATCAAAGTACTAAGCGCAATATCGTCGAATTCAAAGACCGTATATGTCTGCCGCAGGTCCATAACTGCAAAACAATTAGACCTCTTCTTAATTTGGTACACCGGAAAAGGGACATCGATGGGAATGATGCCAGGCAATGCACCAGGCAATGCACTACCAGAACTCTCCTATCGGAGAGTGAGCACATTGCCCTTGGCGCCGTGCAGGCTTCTAATCCACGGCATCTTTGAGCCATGTGCAAACAGGCGATAGCAGCAAAACCTCGCAGTCACCAGAGCCATACGGGACACTGTCAATCCCCTACAATGATTTCTTCAGAAGTTGTCGGGACGAGGTAGAGGAGTTGTCAGTCTCCCACTTCTTCTGCAAGTGTCCGATCCTTGGAAGCCGTAGCCTCGTTTTTTGGTCCCCACATTTCGGATCTATCCAATTAAAATGTAATCAAGTTAAGTATGAAGTCACAGACAATGGCAAAAAACACTTTTTTCCAGTGTTGTCACTCAAGCTCTTTAATTGGGCGGAATGTAATTTCATCACAGGCAATCCGCTTGTGTTCCTTGCTTTTTGCCTTCCAGTCAAGATTGTACTTGAAGTCTTGTGGAGTACTAAAATTAGCAATTTTAATGTTTTCATTGAGCACAACCGTCAACGAATTTGTACGTATTTTTGAATCAGTCCGCCGTAAATATCCATTAATCGTAAATTTATTCTCGAAAAAGCGCTCGGGGTAGACATGGGTACTAGTGTTCGAGCTGCCCATGAATATCATACAATCGTGTAATAAAGAATAATAGAAATAACAGACAGTCAACGTATAAGAGCACCAGCTCGGTAAAGAGCACAAGCACTGTAACCAAAGCCAAAATGAGCCAAGCCCGGCAACAACATCAAGACGAGCGTCGGCCCTCGCAAGCAAAAAACAACGCGTACTTCTCTATACGCTCGCCAAAGGCAGCAGTACCAACAAAAACTGCATCACTGCAAGTGAACGAGGAGAGAGCACGCTCTCTTTCCCCTGCATTGCAAAGTGGTTCATGGAGTGCTCAGTGCCCATCCCCCGACTCGTACTGCCTAACCAGCGATTTGCTAACATCAACAACAACTAGTACAATGCCCTCGCTCAAAACTGTGTGTTCGACCACAACAACGACAACAACCACAACAACAACCACTGCAATTGCTCAGCGCCCGATACTGTCGACCCACTGCGACAAGTCCCACCTCTCCTAACCAATAAGTTCAAAATATGCTAACGGAGCGTTAATTCAGACTGGGCTCGATCGCTATGTGCAAATCAAAAGAAAATTGAGCCCACAAAATGTGAAGAACAACAATGCAGCTAAAATAACTAAAATAACCGAGAACACTGTACCACATAAGGCACTAGCAAACAATAGATTTGCAATACTTAGTGTTCCAAATGAAGATGAGATCGCCCAAGCACCCAAGGCCAACAAATTAAGACCGCCAACTATTTATGTTCGACAGGCAAATTGTGCTGAACTGGTAAAAAAAAATAACTGATACGAACAAAACTATCGATCAGTTGCGAAATACCTCGAAAATGAAAAAATGAATTACTACACCTACCAACTTAAAAGTAACATTGGATTACAAGTGGTTATCAAAGGAATCGAACAAACAGTCCTAATCAATGAGATAATAGTTGGACTTAAAGATAAGGGCGTCGAAGTAGAGGTGGAAAAACATCGATGCTACTATCGATGCATCGATGTTTTTAAAATTCTTATAAGCATCGATGTTTTTTGGCGAAACATGTTTTCTTTTTATGTTTTTGTCGTCTATGAAAGAAAAACCTAAAGAGAGAAGAAGATCAAGCTCAAATGGTTACATTTTTAGATGAATACAGACGGCATGATGCCATTTAAAGCTGTAGCCCAAAAATATTTGTGCGTCCCGGCAACATCTTACGGGGTAACGACATATCTCCGGGCGACAAATCTCCTGCCATTACTTTTTCTAGCAGGAGGTATGTCGCTAAATTCAGGGCGGAGATATGACGCCAAGCTCCGTGAGAAGATTTATATGTCGTTTCAAAATCTCCGTGCAGAGATATGTCGTTAGGGCCTGCTAGGAGATATGTCGCCCTGAGGTATGTCGCTATGCCCATCCTACGAGTCAGAGAGGATGTTCAGCAAGGGTGTGCAAATTATTTCCGATCGTCGTAGCCGCCTTAAGCCGTGGTAGACCAATTATTATTTCTCAACAAGAATCAAGACTTATTTTAAAATATAATCTGGAAAATGTACTTTTTTATATATTTTTGTGAATGGATTTCGGAACTCTTGATCTCAAATGAAATAAAACTGTTATTAAGTATAATTTTAATCATATGTTTTGCAGTTTACTATGTATTTTTGATATTTTTTTTATCTTGCAAAACATCGATGTCTCTACTTTGATGTCAAAATAGCTATGAACATAATAAATATAAATAAAATTCCCCAGCCAATGTTCAAGGTAGAACTCAGGATCAACACAAACGAAATGGACCCGTCCAAAGCACAAATTGCAAGGAATATGGACACACGAAAACTTATTGCGCTCTACGGGCAGTCTGCGTTGACTGTTGACTACTTAATGTTGAGCCATGATAAAATAGGACCTTATGCTTACTGAAACGAGGTGTTACTCTATTTCTCCTGTTTTCTTTCCGAAATATTAAGTTACCTACTGGTCTGGGGGACAAAACCAACTTCTTCTTAAAGATTTGGGGCTTTTTCAAGGTCAAAGTTTTTGAAAAAACTTTCCCACAAAAATCATAATTTTGGCATTTGAAAGCTTAATATTTCATAGACGGTAAGCTAAAACCACAAAAAGCTTGGGTCCAATTTTTAGCTGCATTAATTAGCTTTTCAGAATGGCAAAGTTCTTTTCAACCAAATGTAAGATACTTAAGTTATGTTAAAGAAAGAAGCGCTACCTCTAAAAAAAAGCTTAGAACAAAATTTCAGTTTTTAAAAAGTAAAAAAAAAGTTCTAACGTAGAAAAAAAACATTATAATCAAACAATTATAAAGCACCAAGTCTAACAGAAAAAGTGTGTATGGTTCCTTGAGGAAAAATCTTGTCGGGTATTGTAATTAGACCCCTCCTTCTGTGCCGCTCGAGCTCTCTCAGTTTCCGCATTACCTCAGATGCGAGTTCAGAAACCCGAGACCAGCAGCTGGTATCAACTGGCAGGTTAAGCTAGAGTACATCACATTCCATAGGGTTCGGCCCCAGGACACAGCCTGAGAGGAACGGCCCATATGACTAGGTGCTCCACGGTGCCGCTATTGGTGTTGTACAGAAGCATCCGATCTCTAAATTAGTCCTTGATGATAACCACCAGATAGTCTGGGATACCCAGCTGGGAACTGAGGATGACGTCCCACCTCGATGAGTTGCACTCCAAAAAGCCAATTAATTAGGTTGGTTAAAATAAAACAATGGAAATATAAATGTTATAGCCTATTCCCACAGGTGACCATCCAACCTCCACTTTGGGATGGTCCGTTAGGTTATGCAGGCACAAAAACTCTGAATTTAGATAGTTTTTGGACATGTAAATCCTGAGGATTCTATGGCGCTATGCTTTTCCAAAAAATTTGCGGCTCGGCAGCTCATGTAGTCCTTCCGTAACACTTCCAAATGATTAACCAACAGAAAAGCAAGATTCTTCATTCTAAAACTTTCCTAAAAAAAACGCCTCGTTGTTTTCCGGCACAACCGTATCCCAAAATGTCCCAAACTGCTTTTTAAAAACCATAACGTATATAGTTTTACTTAAAACCTTAGTTGGATTTAGTAGAAGCAGTCAAAACTACAACAAACTTCAGTGTTTTTAACACAGATATCTATTCTTATATCTCCTCTCTGCCGATGTTAGCCTCATTATCATCATCCATGGCCAGAAACATGATTAGCATGTGTGCTTTATAATATTTTATTAGATCTAAGTCCCAATATATCGTCCCTATCGAATCTTTTCTTTCAAAACATCGATAAACATCGAGGTACCTAAGCATCTATAGCTTTTCCGGCTTATCCTTTACTGTTCGGATTGCGTCCATTGTCGAACTTGTTTTCCGAAAGAGACAAGTCTATAATATAATTGCATTTTCGAGCGCTACCCCCATTTTTGATCATGCAGATTACTATAAGAAGAGGGATCTTCTGGAGGTCGGGCATACGGCTGCAATTTCCAGGATTTTGCTCACCCTTATGTCGTTCCATCTGATGTGGCGGTACAGTGTTCGAGACGGGCTGACGGGCTTTGTCGGCAGTGGGGAAGAAGCATTCACAATTTTTTTCATTCTGGCGGGGTCAGCCGCAGTGAAAGGCTTCACCGCGTTTAGGCGAGGTTTAGGCGAGGCTCACGAGGTCGTTCTCCGCGGAGTCGCAAACTCTAGGAAACAATTCCGCTACGTACTTTCCCAGGCAATGTCGTTTTCTGGGGTCTTGGCAGAAACATTAACTTCTGGATCTTTCTGGAACGCAAATGCATTCACTGCGAGCGTCGGAAATCTCTGTGCTACACTAGAAGACCAGCTCAACGTCCTTTCCCTGAATGCCGTTGTTAAAGCGCAGATGAGATTTTCTGCGCAGTTCTATGCTCAGCTCCAAAAGGAAATGGAGCTCTCCGACTATGAGCGTGATTTTCTGCGCGGTTCTATGCTCAGCTCCAAAAGGAAATGGAGCTCTCCGACTATGAGCGTGACTATTGGCGAATTGAGGTTATGGTAGCCACAACTTGCATCTACGCGATTGGCGAGTGCGCGTTCGTCATTTGGAAGCATGAATTTAATGTGCGGATAAACTTCAGAATCAGGTTTGAATCTAGATTCGTGCCGATTAGCAACTCGCTCAATGGTGCTGGTGGTGTCTCATTTTCAAGTAGTTGCACTCATCCTGATGCGCAACTCATGCCATCTTATTCATGGTGGAATTATGACCCGTCGCGCTTGTCTCCGTTTAAATTGTCTATGTTATCTCGTTAATTTCGTAGCTGTAGTGATTAAGATTCAAGCAACACGCGACATGTTCACAGGCTAATTTTAATTTTCTTGTTGGTTTCGTTTGCCTGCTGTTTCTGTTCTACTCTTTCGCATGTTTTTTGCTTTATTCGTTCGATGGCCCAATGGCATTCTTCACTGTAACACACATACAAATTGACCAAATTCCTGTTCTTACTGATGCAAATCGGTATGCAAACCTTTCACAGAGGTTGTGCTTCTATTTTTCACATAACTTAAGTATCTTATATCTGGTACCATAGAACTTTGCAGTTCTGAAAAGGTGTTTTTTGGTACCTGAACGTGTTCCTTTGGCATTTGACCAGCAACGGTATTTCTCAGGTAAAATTAGTTTTGAGTCGTTTTGGTCAAACGGCTGCAAGTTGACCGTTTATCCATAGATTTTAATGAACAATACCTTAAACGACGCTTAATTAATGCGTCTATCTAAAACTAACAATGTTTGCCAAGAATTATTTTTGTTTTTTCGACTTTTCCCGAGTTTTTAAAGTCAAAATTTCTGGAAAAAATACCGCAAAAAAAATTATGAAATTTGAATTTGAAAGCTTAATATCTTCCAGGCGTTATGCTGCAGATACAAAATGTATGGGTGGGATTTATAGCTGTATTTGTCAGAACTGCAAAGTTCTATGCTACGAGATATAAGATACTTAAGTTATGTAAAAAATAAAAGCACTGCCTCTGAAAAAAAACATTAAAAAAATACCAGATTTTAAAAAATTCTTTAAAAAACGAGAAGGAACGTGTGAGTTGCTTCTGGGGACGGGACTCTACTTATACCCGTACTCAGTCAGTATATACATTTTTGAGCTTATGATTTTACAGAATTTTAAAATTAAAAAAAAAAATTTTACATTTAAAATTTTTTTTGCTAGATCTGTTATCTACATGTACATCTACAATGTATATTTTACATCTAACATATAGATTATAGATGTACCAGTCATATTCTACATCTCCTCCGCTAGGGGTTGTTCGCGCACTGATCGCGGCAGAGTGTGCGAGCGAGAAAGAGAATGAGTCTCTGCCAGGGGGAGGCGGAGAAAGCAACTGAAAATGAATTGCTTCATTCTGGCTATAATTATGTTCCGATCTAATTCAGATTCGGCAATCTGGTAGATATGGTCATTCTCTAGGATACTGGGTTTTTAGTTTTATCGTATCTTTAAAATTGTGCCTGCCACAGATTTTCGTTTTTTGTGGTGGCGGAAGGGGCGAGTCGAAATTTTGATATACACTTGTAGCAGTGTGATGTCACATGAGTCTGGAAACTAAAATTTGGTTACCCTAACTCTTATAGTCTCTGAGATCCAGGCGCTCATCGAGACGGACGGACGGACGGACGGACAGACGGACATGGCTATATCGACTCGGCTATTGATGCTGATCAAGAATATATATACTTTATGGGGTCGGAAACGTTTCCTTCTCTGCGTTACACACATCCACTTTTACCACAAATCTAATATACCCCTTAAATCTTTTTTGAGTACGGGTATAAAAACCATAATTCGATTCGGATATTGTTCATATAAAAATACTTAATTCCGTTTCAAAAATGGAGGGTGGTGGTAGGAAGGTGAAAAATAGTTAATAGCATGTTCGGATACCTAACAAACATACAAAAAGCATTTCATAGAAATGTTTCATCGACAAATACCGGAACACGATATTTCCATACATTAGAAATAATATACGCAAGTGCTGGAATTTGTATCGTATTCTCACTCTCACTAACAGAGACAGCTGGGTCTTTTGGTATCTCTACACTTAAAAGGGACGAATTGATTTGTTGTTTTATGTTTAGAGGGGGTATCTCTCTTCAATCTCTCTTATTTTACTCCCATTTTCGATAAGTGAGAAAAAAAGGGAATCTTTTACAGATGGTTATATTATATCATTAATTCTTGCAATTGGGTTATCCTTTCTCCACCTATAGACATATTTTATTAGATGTACAATTTTTTTCACTTTTTACGCTACGGCTTTTTATTCTTCTACATCTTACACGCTTCTCATACCAACCCCAGCTGCTTTATCACGATCTCCTCATTTGTTCATTCTTCTGGCTTTAATGATATTGATCTGATCCAGATTTAGCAGTCTTCAATCCCACAGACTTTAGGCTTTTGTGGGGGCATGGCAAAATTTTTAAACAAACTTGAATCAGTGTGAAGTCACAGGAGTCTGCCCATAGCTGATCTACTGATTTAGCTCCTTTAGTCTCTGAGATATAGGCGACAAAAATGACGGACGAACAGACAGGCGTAGCTTTATCGAATGGACTTTTGACGCTGATCAAGAATATACATAATCATTGGGTTTAGAAATGCTGCATTCTAATATATCCCTAAACTTTTCAACATAGCTTCAGCGTAGAATTTTTTGGTGAAAGGTACCACAAATAATATATATTAATTCAACCAGCATTATTTCTATAAACGCGTATTTTTTCATTTGTACTAGTGAAGTAAACCATCAAATCGATTGTGAAAAGTATGTAGAAGAACATCCTGCATTTTTTTGGTCAAATTAAACGTTTGCTTATAGTTTACATTTTACATCCAAAACAGCAGATCCGTTGTATACTGTGCTGTAGTAAATTGATTTTTGGCCGACACAGTTGGAATATTTTGACATTTTTTTAGATAAAATTAAATTCAGTTCGAGTGAGATGTATTTTACTTTAGCTTTTATTGGGTTGGGTTTGTTGCGGTTGAAACTAATCAGAAAACTTGTCTGCTGGCTAAAAGGCAACTGAGAAGAATACAAAATATTTTCTGTGCATGCGAATTGGTGGAAGCTAGAACTTTAACAAGAGTATTTGTATATATCCACCCCCAAAATCAACCAATGGCAGGCGTTGTTATACTCTATTGCCTCATTGCCTAAGACCAATAGCATGTTTTACAAGTGAAGTATGTAAATTGAAATATACACAAAACATACATAATATGAGTGTACGTAGACGTATGTATATATATGTATATATACACTTATAAGAAAGAGCGCGATATACCTACCGACTATAAGATACCCGCTTTTCAGATTTTTAGTCTATCTAACTAATAAAATGAAAAAGGTTAAATAAAATGAAAGTATATTAAAATATAAAAGTATATTACAAATTATAATTTAATATCTCGCTAAATTAAAGAAAACCCAACAACAACAAAACTTTCGATTTCTTTTAGTTTAAATTATTATTCTTAGATATCATTTTCACATTTTTTAATTTTAATATTAATTAATCTGTCTGGTTATTTATTAAGTCTTAATCCCAAATTTAGTTTCAGGCAGTCATACAGATAGGCAGGACATATCGACTAGGCTATTGACACAATATACCTCTTTACTTAAGGAGTACCGTGTATAAGATTCTGGCTCGTTTTGAGTGGTCTGGCATGACTACTTTTGCAGTCTGACTGAAATAAAGTGGCTTTTGATTTATAATCAAGTATTCTGTGCACTCGCAGTATCTCGCAGTATAGATAAAATAATGTAGCCGTTTGGGCTGCAGCTTAGTTCGAAGTAAGCGAGCGATTGAGGTTTCGTTTAATATTGAGAGGGGTGGAATTCTGACAGCTGGCGATTATGTTAGCTCAATTTAATGGCTAATGTTCTGCTATGTTTTGAGAGCGGTATCGACAGGTGCTTAGAGCAGTTATTTCCTTGATAAACAGATAAACCCGATTTTAAAAGGCCACGTATTGATGATGACCCAAACCATCAGACTTGTTCGGCTCAAAAAAGAAACCTTTGGAAGCCGACAACAATGAATGAGTCTCGCAATGGGACCATTAGATAAACACTTACTGTCACACCGTGGGACCTTCGGCCATTTCAGCTTGCTAAATTAATAACTTAATAATAACTAAACGAATTTTCATGAAAACTGTGTTTGAAAGGAAAATATTTAAAACTAACTAAATATTTAAATATTTTACATAAATACCTATGTATGAGAATTTCTCTGGGAAGGTCCACCGATACAAAAAAATTAAATGTCAATAAAAAAACTTTTTCATATAAATTTATTGACAGGTAACTAATTTACTAAATTGATATACATATGTATATTGGGCTTGGTCAAAAATTGAACACCCTCCAATTTTGTTCTTTGTTATTCAATAAAATTATAGATTTTTAGTTTTTTGTTGAGGGGTTGCTACCTCGAAAAGAAAATACACTTTTTTAGTTAAATTTTGATTTTTTTTGTTTAGTTACTGTTAAAAA